CTCTAGTGTTACCAAATACAGCTCACTTATCTGGGTATAATCAAGGGAAAAATATCAAGAAGAGAAATTTACCATATGTCATTTCTTGGCTGGTAAGAGTGGCACATGACTATATCCGTGTCCCTTTTTTGGACTTGATGTAGATAAATCTGTATGAGAAATCATTTTGTATGTATTTAGCTTTATAAAATATTATATTTGTGATCAATTTGGAAACCAGTTTATGACATTTACTTTTTATCTTTCATTTTTTTAGATTAAAAAATTCTATACAAAACAGACATGAACACATCTTCTTTGAAAGTAATCAGAATATAGGCTTGATTTTCAAACTGATGTTGGGCCTCATTATTCAAAGCATAGTTGGTAGACTTGGCAGCACCCACAGCATCTAGGAGACTTGAGAAATATGGAATCTCAGGTCCTGTCCCAGACCTAGTAAAAGGAATTTGTGTTTTAACAAGATCTCCCATGACTTACATGCACAAGAAGATTTGGGAAGTGCTAATGTAGAGGAATGGTCTTTATCCACCCAACTATAGAAGAGTCCCTGGGAAAAGACAATAACTCCAAAGGAAATTTTGTTCAAAATGTTCAACTATGAATGTAACAACTTTTAGACATGATTCACTTAATAAAAAAACAAACACCTGAAACACGTCACTTTGCTGATGTTCAGAATGAAGTTTGCAAATGGGAAAATGCTTAATATTCTATATATTACATAAATGACCATGAACTACTTGAATTAATCGCACACAATAGTTCATTGTTTCCAACCCAAGGTATTTTCCTTAGCAAAATATACACAAGTGATAAGTATTACATTGAACCCAAGAAACCTGAAGATTACCTTAGTAGTCAATTATTTAATGACTAAGTACAATAGTTTTAAAGAGAATTGTATCAAGAAACTGATGAATTCTAGGTTGACACACTTTGGAAACCCTTTCCCAAAGAAGTTCAACCAGTACTAAAATTTGTTATTTTCTTCAAAGGATCTTTGAGCAAACAAATTATCAATCCTGGGGGTGGGGGCAGAATGGGAGGGCGAAGAATTAGAACCATAACTTCCACTCAAAGCCAACTGCAAAGTCTGGGGTAATTCAGGGTGGAGGAAAAGAAGATGGCTCCCTAGCTGGTGTTAAGAAATACCAACATTTGTTCAAGCAGTTCACCAGCACAAGGCAAATTAAAGATTGCTGTCCTTCTAACTTTAACCACAGTATACACAACTCTAAGGCTGTGATTTCCCGATTCTGCTTCTCCTTCAAGTCTGTCCTTCACTTAGCCTGATTTCCCTTGTAAAAGTACACAGAATCTAGAGAAGCAGAGGAGAAGGAATTCTTCTGTCCTTGCACTTGTCCCCCCACCTCCTCTACAATCCCTGCGCCCCAGGAATAAGCCAAGGCCAGCCACACTCCCCTCACAATAGTGGCTTTCTATTATGCTTCCAAGTATAAAATATGTTAGAAAGTAGATCGTACATTGTTTCCGCTCTAAGATCTAGATAAGTAGAACTTCCCTTCTCCCTGTACTTCTTCTTAGCTGTAAACTCCTTTGGAGACACATTTGATAATCATCCCATAGTTTGGAAAGGAGAAATGTAGGTGCTCCTCTCACTACTTTTAAAACAAAACTAAACGTCTCTGAGTTCCTCCTTCATCAGTGAACTGCCTGAGCAAAGGGACTGTGTATCTTTCACCTCTGCATATCCAACCCTGGCAGAGTGTCTGGCTCACGGGTGCTTAATAAATGGTGGGAACTTAGACTTTTCCCCAAGTCCTCTAGCACTGAATTTGTTAAATCTTGGGTTGCACATTGGAAGCTGATCATATGTTTGAGCTTATCCATGTATATACAGTCTCACCATTAGTCTTTCCCCTAACTTACTTTCTGTTTTTCCTTTACTTATCTACCCAGGGAACTCAGTTTCGAGGTTGTCTTACAGTCACATCACATTTCAAATAATATACACTGAATATAATCTAGTCTTACACATCATTGATGACTGAAAGAAACTATCAGTATGTTATGGCTATCAATTTTGGGGGTGCACAGAGACACGGGGAAGCAAAAATAAGTATAGCAAGTAAGCAACCCACCCTCACAATGAAACAACTTTCCCTTTCACTTACTAATACTGTTTTTTAATTTTTATGCCCCTACTTTTTCCTTTCATGTCTTTTCGTTTCCCTCTTCTCATTTAAAATTTTTTTCTTTCTTCTTTTCTAGGCCTTCAGGCTATTTGAGCACCCACAAGAGTGATCAATATTACCACAGGCATTCAGATTTCTCACCCTGTCTTTCTTATATAAGGATGGCTTTTGTTACCAAAGAAAGGATGTCCAGGTTCAAAAAAGTTGTAACTGGTCTCTCACCTTTTCCTTCTCCTATAATACAGCATGTGGGATGGGGTCAATAAAGCAGGTCTATGTAGAGTCTCTCTATATATCAGTTTGCCATGGTAAAATGATAGCAATCTATTGGTTGATTCAGACAAGTTTACATCATTTAAATACAAATTACTATTTTTAAAAAAGTCAAGAAAACATTAGTCTACTCATTATCTATGCATTGTTTATTGAACAAGAGGTTAAATGCTCTTCAAGATATTTTTAAATAGCTTGTTTTGAAATCGACTTTTTTCCAAAAAGCATATTCACAAATACCACTGATCTCTAAGACAGTTCCTTAAGAGTGTATAGATCAGAGAGCTCAGTTAATGATGTCACCTAACAAAACAGACTTTACATCTGTTATTGGTTCCTTGCCCACGAGCTGTTACTTTAAGTTTGGTGACATGCCCTATTATAATTTCACACTTTCTTGGTAATTTTTTCTCTCCTTCTCTTTCTATCCCAAAGTTGCATTTCTATCCTCAAACAATCTCACTATGTGCCAGCTTTATAAGTCACATCTATTCGCACTGGTGTGTTTTTCTTATAGACATTGTCCTACACCAAATGTTTCTTTCAGTAAAAAAAAAAAAACAAAACTGTTAGAGAGCTAATTCTATTTTTAAACTATATGTAGTCTAATGTTCTTATCTAATTTGGAGCCTATTCAATTAATATCCTCATTGTTTAAGAAATCTGCATTTTAAAAGAAATATTGTTAGAAATAAGATATTTTATAAGCAGTGAAATAAAGTTTTTGAACTTTGGTACCAAATTTTGCCCTTAAATTAATTTTTAAATATTTAGTTTTATTTCAAAGCTATTTTACCATTCATACAAAATTGCCTCTAAAAATTAGTCCTAATTATAATTTTTCAGTTTTTTTCTAAAGTATTTTGTACTAATTCTAATTGAGCAATTAAAAACAAACCTGATACTTTTATCAATTATAGATCTATGTAATCTTCAAGAACCCATGCTAATTACAGTGCCAATAATCTTTATACCAAACACATCCACATGACTCATCTGATAATTCATTAAAAGGAACAAATAGTAAATCAAAACTAAAAGCAAAATTGTCTTAAATAAAAAAGGACTTCCTGGTTACAAGACAGCATTCAACTAGGGAAGGTACAATGTTGACAAGTCATCATAGTTAGATTTGTGAAAACATACGATCACTGAAGGCCTGTAATATCTTCGTTTAAAGCAGTGTCCTTGATTATCATCACTATATATAAAGTGCTGTGAAAGCACATTAGTAAGCGCATCATTCCAAAACCTTTTAAAGGTGTTCTTCTATGTCCCGTGCGATACTTATTTTAGATTCTTATCTTCATTATCATAGACTCTCTAACACTCATCTTTGGGTCTTTGGTATTTTCTTGAATATACCTTTGGCACCTAGTTTTCCCAATCTGTTTTATCAGTTAATGACAGTTGTTTGAATGATCTGCTCCATAGGACAGAACTCTGGACACTGAAATCAGACACCTCACTCAAAACTCAAAGAACATTATGAACCACTTCAAATAATTTCAGGAATCTATCCAGCTTATTAAATAATTATCTTTCAAATTGCAAAATATAGGGACTTATCTAAACTTCACCACCAAAGCATTCTGAATACATTTTGTCAAATAGTGAATGGTCAACTATTATACAAAAATCAGTGCAAAGTTTCATCCAGGCAGCCTTAAATGTACTCTTTGATGAAGGAATAACATCCTGTAGAATTTCTGTTGCTTTCACTAATTTTTGCAGATATGATTTTTCAAAATTGTCAAGCTATTAAAACAAATTGACCTGCTTACCTTTTTCCTGAGCTTCACAGCCTACAAAAATGTCATCATAAATAAAATTTAAATTCTTAACTAAAGACCAACCACAAATTTTAAATGACCTCTAGAACTTAGAGATAAGCCCATCTGCAAGGCTCATTTTAATAAATTTTACTTTTAAAGATAAATGTCTATCGAGGCAAAAATATAAAAAATAAAATAAAACAAACCCAAAACCAAACAAAACAAAATGGATCAGTTTGGAGTAATCTGGTTGTTACATTCAGCAGTTAAGTTGCAATATATCTGCCCCATCTTGAATTGCCACTAACCATAAAAGGAGAATGGTGTCAAACAATTATTTGGCACAATGCTTGACAATCCAAAACTTTTCAGAAAGAACCTATCTTCCCCTCATTGTTTACAGAAAAGTAAATTCATCCCACCCTTAATATTCAGGGATCCTACATTATCAGTTCCGTGTCATATTTTGTCTCTTCCCACTAAGAGTGGCAGAATTTGGAAACAGGGGCTTTAAAGTTTAAATCCATATAAGAACTTGACATAGGTCTGTTTGTACACATCATCTTATCTTTTAAAAAAACATAAAGAACTTTGCCTTTAAAGCACTTATTTGCTGCTTTATAATATGTGGACATAGTTTCAATTTGGATGATACCAAGGACTGCTGAGTAATAACCAGGGTTCTTTCCACTCAGTTCTGCATGCATGTCATCTTTGATCTCAAGTGCACTGGTAATTAGTGCCTTATTTTAATATCTTCACTAAAACAGTTCAGGCATTTAGAAACAAAGTATCAATGAACTTAACATTTACTTTAATTCATTTTATAAATAAGCAACTGAGAATTTTGCTCCAAGTGGCTGCTAGTGTAGCCCATTCCATAAATGGCATTCTCCGAAGCATAAGGCACAATATGATATGAATGCAGCTCTTCATAATAAAGAGACTGAGAACAGCATTCCTGTACCATGAACTTCAGCCGTTTTCTTGTATCAGAATAAGCAGTCTTATAACAGGGAGCTTCTTTAAAGTATTCATAGCTCTCTTTCTCCGTCTCTAGATGTATCTTCCTCAGCAAATTGTTAATTAACACAGACCTTCTTAAGTAGGTTTCTGGGTCTTCAAGAAACCTGAGCTTCTCCAGAGAAAGTTTGAGAATGCAAGTCCTGTCCTCAGGCAATATCAGGTGCTGGAAAGCAAATACACTATTATCTATTTTTAGAAAAAAGAAAACTAGAGCTTTTTGCTCTTGACAAGACTTATAAAAAGGAAAAAATAATGATAAGTAAACCCTTACTTTTGGAAAATACCCATGGTAATCTTGATGTAAATCTTCTTCTTCTGCATATTTTCTCTTAAAGTAGGCTACTTTCGACGTTGTTAATGTATATGTTAATACCTTTGTTGGATAAGCTAAACAAAATAAGACAATGGGAGAAAAGTCAGATTTATTGTGGCAAAGAGCATTTTATAAGTTCTGTTTATAAGAAGAAACTGTTGGTTGACCCTGGAAAAGAAAATTCTATCTTCATTTACTAAGCAATATGATAAAGTCGTCAGTAGCAATTCTTTTGTTACCAAAAGGCCTGTTTGTAGGTAGTTGCCACTACTCAGACCCAAAATAGATGTTCCAGGTTGGAGAGTTATATGTATTGCCTTACGTTGCTCTTCAAAAATGAATACTTACCAATCTTCTATTTAATTTCATGCCATGTAATGTCAAAATAGGCCCAAATTTAAAGTTTATTCACAAAATCAATGGAAAGAGGGAAGTAATTTTTCATCATTTACTTAAACTCGCTAGTTTACAAAGGGAATATAATGTTGCTAGATTAATCTAGGTTAATCCAATTAGTGTAAAATGGTTGGTAACCCAATTACACTTTAAAGAAATAATCATGTGTGTCCATAGACAAACCGTATGATATGGTCATGGTATGACCATCCTCATAACACAGAGGTTAATCATATGGAAATGAGAGGTGTAGCATTCTATCAAACTTGAGCTTGGAATAATATCTGAACATGAAAACTTTGTTCTCTCCTTTCAAGTGCTGTTCATGGTTGGTGGGTTCGAGCCCTATGTCAGGCTCTGTGCTGCTGGAGCCTGCTTCAGATTCTGTGTCTCCCTCTCTCTCTTCCCCGGCCCTGCTCTAGCTAGTGCTCTCTCTCTCTCTCTCTCAAAAATAAATAAACATTTAAAGAAATACTATTGCTTTTGAGGATTCTGCCTTTTTAAAGGAAAGACATAGTGTTCTGAAAGATTTGCAGAAAGCATTTGGTTTGAAGGGAGTTCTTACTATATACTGTAGGTGGTGCTCATATCACAGAAAACAGGCAAGTTCAACACTAAAAGCAAAGGACAAGTAGCACTGAATGAATTTAGAATACAAATTGAGTCCTGGTTAGTACATACTCTTTCAACCTCAGAGGACTGAACCAAAATAAATGTTCATATTTATACGTCATCTATTTTATTTTTTAATTCACACCTTCAAATACTTCTAGGTATTGAAACCATTTGATTCACAAATGAGTAATAATGTGTTGATTAAATAAATTTACCATTAAGACTTTTTATCTTTTTATTCTAACACCTTAACTTTTTAAAATCTTAAATATTAAAAATATGTTATTCAAGAACCTGCTTCTTCTAGCTTTTCTTCCAATTCAGCAACATCTGTATAACACTTCCTGCAACTTTGGGTAACTGGGTGGTTTTTCTAAACCATTAGGTAAAGCTACAAAAATGACATCTAACGCATTCCAAATTTTCACTGATACCAGTGTAGACTGTAAACCCAAGAGGGTCTTCAATTAGAATTGACATGATCTGTAAGGGCAGTAGGAATTTTAAAGCACTGGTGCGTCTGACCTAAAAAGAGAGAAATGTGCAATGATCATTCCCAACTGAAGCAACAACAACAGTTGCCACTGTCTGTATGGGGTCTCTGAATTCAAGAAGTAGAATACTCAATTTAAATGGAGTATTCACAGATTTCAAAAGGTTGGGGAGAAAGAAGAACAAAACGTATGTACTGAAAACAAAGAAAGCATTGCTGAATCCAGTTTTCTCAGCCGCTGTTTTTTTGGTTTGGGGGTTTTTGTTTGTTGGTTTTTAGTAGACTGTGTTTTTTTACATGTATTTTTAAAGCATTTCATCAAATAATTAGGTGAAGCTTTGGGTTATTCTGTGATGACAATTAGTTATTGTGACTGAAATCTTTTTTAACTGTTTAACTAGTTGATGTCACAGTGGTTCTCAAGTGTTGGAGAGCATCAGAATCATCTGAAGGGCTCTTCAAAACAAATTGCTGGGTCGCACACCCACAATTTCTAATTCAGGAGCTCTGCACCAGGAGATCATTTACATTTCTAACAAGTTTCCAGGTGACCCTGAGCCTGCAGGTGTGGGGACCACATTTTGAGAGCATTGGACAGGCATGGTAGTTGCACAACAGCTAGTAGAAAAACAGAACATTCAGCCCATCAACTGATTGCCTTATCATCCGGATGTCAAGCAATCAGCTTGATTGATTTTTGTTGTTGGTGGTGTTGCTATCGCAACATTGGCTACATTGGCTTCGATGCTGTAGCATCATGAACAAAGCCAGACTGCCTTTTAACTAAATACTGAAGGAAGAATGAGGTCACTTTTCAACATAAATTCTGGGTTCACATTCTGAAGTATCGATGACTGTTATTAGCATTATAGCTGGAGAAGTCACTTTAAAAAAAAAAAAGTAAGGCCCAAAGGATTATACAGTAGGAAAGGATTGATGAAAGACTTGGAAAGAAGAATGACTTTATCTTAGCAAACATTTTCATCTATGTATATTTTGCCTTTTAAACATCTGCTCATTTTATTTTCCAAAGGAATGCAATGTCTATAGCATTTAAGACCAAATGAAAACATTTGAATGAATGATACAAGGCAGGGAAGGTGGCAGCTTTGGAAAACCAAATGTCAACTAAACCAAGTGATACTCAGGGGAAGATATTTTTAATTACTAGACCAAGACCAGAAAATTATACTAAATGTCTCCAAGGTTCACTGAGATCCAGTTTGGCTATACTGGAGAAGTAAGCCTCAGATACAGAACGTATTAGACCCTGAAAACACAGTAAATTCTCAGGGGTCCAGATTTGTATCTCAGCTCCATGGACAACACACTTAGCCACTTAGTTTATTGCTCTTAAAAAACACCCCCAAGGGTTGTTGAAATGCTGAAAAGCTTTCACAGCTGGTATTGGTTTGACAATTACTTCCTTGCAGGCTGTTTAGCTATTTGCAATGTTTTTGGCATAAATGTTTTTGGAGGATGCTTTTAGCCACTTTGAGGCTAAAATATATAGCAAACATAAGTTCCTACATCTGTTTTCTTGGCTGGATTGAAACTCAAAAATTTTGGAGCTGGAAACTTATTTATTGACTACCTGATTCGGCCTCCAAAGTTTACAGATGAGGAAACTGTGGCTCAGAATGGTTCTGTGATTTACAATCAGTACAATCAGTACAATCGGTTATGTGGGTATGAGTTTGGATTTTGAAGTCAGGTTGAAGTGGGTTTGAATTCCAGGTCTGCTGTTTCTTAGTTGTGTGGCCTTGAGAAAATCACATAAACATGTCACAAGTCTCATTTGTAAAGTGGGGATAAAATATCACTGGCTCATAGGATTGTTGAAATAATTCATGGAAAGGGACTGACACTGTGCCAAGCAGATAGTAAGCACTTAATCAAAGGCAAACAAACTCTTATCAGTGCCAATAGGCACAGACCTGTCCCACAGACACAAATCCCAGCTGGCCTCCTAGCTCTGACTCTAAGACTTTTTTCTACTGCCCTTCCTTCCAGAGATACTAGACTGTAATTTGAGAGTTAAAAGACTACAAAAGAATATTTCAAATGATCAAGTAAAAAAAACATATATGGTATGGGTGCTATGATGACTCCAAGAAAATGTTTCTGAATTTCTTGCCACTGATCATACATTTGGGATGAAAGAAATGGACATTGTTTCTGAAACATCCAGATAGTCATTTGGAGAATTTAAGTTACTCTAGATATCCAAAGAAATATGCCTGTTATGATCCAGAAAACATGTATAAACCTGTTTATATCATTCTCCCATAACTAAAAAGCCAAACTCAACCCAGAGAGTTGAGATAGAAAGGGAAAAAGTGAAATGATTTTATGTGTTCATTTTCACTGTCCTGAGTTCTGAGAATAGCATATAAATTATAAAGCTGAATTAGGCTGCGTCTAAATTTATCTCCAAAGGTAAAATGGTTAATGCTGGCTTGAATACTCACACATAAAATACCTATGTCAGGCTCAATGTATTTCACAGTGCAAAACTTCAAGAAGCAACACATTAGAAGTTAGGGAACAGAATGACTGCCCCCATCATTAGGGTTCCAGCAGCACAATTTATACACATTTTAAAAATAAATGTTTCGGGGCGCCTGGGTGGCTTAGTCGGTTAAGCGTCCGACTTTCGCTTAGGTCATGATCTCGCGGTTCGTGGGTTCGAGCCCCGCGTCGGGCTCTGTGCTGACTGCCAGCTCAGAGCCTGGAGCCTGTTTCAGGCTGTGACTCCCTCTCTCTCTGACCCTCCCCTGCTCACGCTGTCTCTCTCTCTCTCTCCTAGAAATAAATAAAACATTAAAAAAAATAAAAATAAAAAAAAATAAATGTTTCAAATGTAATTACAAACGATTGCTCCTGCGCTCCTCCTATTGCTCTGCGCCTGCCTCCAGACATCTGAAATCCTATTATTACATGAGTGATTTTGTTAGGTACATGGCCCAGGGGCAGTACATTAAGGAAAGATCATTAGCAAATTAATTTACCAACACTTTGAGAGAACAGACAATAATAAAAGAACAAGGCCCATCATGGCGATCCATTCTTTGTCTGAGCCTGCAAAACCTGAGAGATGGTGAAGAAGTGATGGCTTCCACATATCTTCATTTTAACAAAGTTTCCATTCTCTTCCCTACAACACCTTGATCAATAAACTGCAAAAACTGAGCTGAGATCCTCCTATTACATGTGCCTTTGTAGCCACAGACGAAAGAACAGTCTGATCAATTGGAAGAATAAGGTGGGGTCTTGCCTCCCATCAGGACAAACCATGGGCCCGGACTTCCAGTCCCTCACTGATTTCCCTTTACATGGCATTAGCCTGGCGTGAGCCTTAGGAAGTACACGTCCCTACCTAACTACATAATGCATTGTAGTCGCAAAGCTAAAACACATCCTTCCTTAAAGATGACAACCACTTTTGTTTAGAAAGAGCTATATCATCTGTCACTGTTAGCTGCATTCTTCAGTCTTGCCACATGGCTTAAAATACTTTGACACGATTTTCTAGTGCTGTGAAAGAACACTAGTTCAAATCCCAACTCCACAATTTATGTGCTTAGTTGCTTCAGGCAAAGTATTTAAGCTCAAAGAGCCTGAGTTTCCTCATCAATTAATTGGAGGAACAATATCAAACTCACTGAGTTGTATGTGAATTAAGGGAGATGATATTTTAAAAGCACTTACTCAGCCGGTGCTTGCCACATTTCCACACATTTTCTACTCAATAAATTTTAGAGTGAGAGTAGTGATCTCATTTTTGAAATCATAAATATGTGTTCTATTAAGCAGTACTGTGTTATAGCAGGACATTTGTCCTCTCTTGTGTTAAGCATAGCAGCGCAAAACATTCACAAGTGCACTCAAGAAGGTGGATGGAAGCAACGTTCAAGGCTGCAATACTGCTTCTTTTTTAGACCTTGAGTTTTGTGATACCAATTTCCCATCAGTTTTATCCCTTATAACCCCTTGCCTGGCACACTTCTAGGTAATATATTCTATAGAGCAGAACTCAGTGGCAGTTTTTAGCTCCAAATCAATGGAACAATCTGTTTCTACAGATTTATCATCCACTCCAAGCACAAGATTGACTTTGCTGGCAGCTTAGAATTAACAACAAGTTGTAGCTCCTGGCAAAGTTTCTTAGGAACTTCCAGGGATAATGACAAGACAGAGAAGTTTCCCAAGACCAGAAGCACTGTCTGGGACTGGTTTCCATGTCCCTTGGGATAGCCCCAAGTGTACACATGGAATAATAAATAAAATACCACTCTTCCACAGCCTATCTTGTTCTACAGTTAATGGCCTCTGAGTCAACGAGAACCTTATTAAATGGGATATGACCAGCCATGTAATCATGAAGTTACCTTAGTTGCTGCACCAAAGCTTAACTTCTGCCATAATCTGGTCCTATTAATGACAGACACCAAGTGCAGTATGTTTCATGGGTAATAAGTTTTGTGCTTTACCACTCCTCAGAAGTGCATTCTTTATTTTAATTTTTTAATGTTTATTTATTTTTTAAATAAAGAGACAGAGAGCAAGCAGGGAGGGGCAGAAAGACAGGGAGACACAGAATCTGAAGCAGGCTCCAGGCTCTGAGCTGTCAACACAGAGCCCAACACGGGGCTCAAACCCATGAACCGCGAGATCATGACCTGAAGCAAAGTCAGATACGTAACTGACTGAGTCACCCAGGCACCCCCATTCTTTGTTTTAAAGGGTGATGCTCCCTTGCACTACACCTTTCACCTTGGAGAGTGGGAATGAATCAGGAAGAAAACTGGCAGAGCACTCACATTGCTAGATATAGATTCCAAGAGATACCTTACTGATGAGATATGTTGGGAGAGTTATAACTTCCTTAGATACCCAGGTCTGTTGCTCAAAGAGGATGGCTTTTCAATCCCTCATATGTGGACTGCAGAGATCTTCTGAAAATATACTTAATCTATATCACCTTCGTTGTCTTCCACTTTGCTACCATCTTCAGGTTTGAATATCTCGCCTACAAGATTTAGCCAGGTACCCCAGAAGGGTTGTAGAAAAAGATAAGATGGACTAATCATTAGCTTTTCTCATTAAGAATTTGCCCCAGAGTTGAGTGATTCTCTGCCTTCACTAGTATTGCCTGATTTGTGTCACCATCCAGAGTTGCTCTAGTGGTAAAATGTCCCTCGTTCACAGGTTCCCTCTCCTCTAAAGACTTTTGGTCCTTCATTAAATTGCATTGTGTTCAACACCAGCACTCTACTTAAGTTAACAGCTGGTTTTATCCCCCACATCAGGTATGGAGAGATGAGCCATGGAACAGTAATGCAAGTAGCACATGCAGACAGAACTGACACTCGAGGCTCTTGAGCTCTGATTCTCTTTGCAACATCCCCAACATTTCTTGACGTTTATAGTCAATGCTCCCTTTTAATGATCATTTTAAAAAGAATACATACTCTGATACACCACAAGAGAGGGATTTCCCAGCTTCAAACCTGCCCCTCCTCCCCTTCTAAGCATCACTGATATTTGAAAGAGTCTTGTATCTCTACCTGCCAAGAAGACTTTTTGCCACACAGTACAAGATGAAAAAAATCTTTTTAAAAAATTCTAACCATAAAGCTATATCATAATACTGAATATAAACACTCTCAAGCCCTTAGTACTTTTTATTAATACCCCCTTACGACCCCCACTGAGAAATACTGCAGTAAACTAGATGGCTCTGTTATTAGCCTGTTAACATAAATATGATCCAGAAAAATTAAAAAGAATACTTGTGTTAGCCTAAAAAGGGGAAACATTAAAATAATGTATTGACACTAGCTAAACAGACAACTTCTTAGGTTGGGGGGAGGGGGAACTGACAAGGAGCTGCTCCCCCCAAAATGGAAGTTGCACTTACTTCTTCATCAGTTTTAGTGGTGAATATGTATGGTCAGTTTACCCCTCTGCTTTTGAAATCATTATTTTATTTCACCTTTCTCTAGGTTTCTGAAGCATGTTGCTTTGACAAATAGAGCAATCCAGCTGGTTATGCCTCAGCTTTAGAGCTATTGTAAGGGTGTTGGTGTTTTGACAGCTAACGCCAGCTGGCATGAGTCCTCAGTGAAGAGCCCAGGGCTTTGGCATCTTGATCAAACCTTTCAACATTTCTCCATGTTTCAAAGCATCTTATAAATCCCAGGAAAGCAACATGGCATAAAATTAAACATGGAATGTTCATAGACACATACACACTTCCAAATAGAATATATGAGGAAAAACTGAAATTAGAATGTGGTTTCAGTTTTAACCTGCTTGATCTCAGCTTGATCTAAGCCTTATAGTCTGAATGCCATCCTCTTTTTATAACTCATCATACGTACGAGTAGAGCTGCCATTCCCATCGACAAGAGTGACTAGATCCTGAACTACAAAGTGGTGGAATTTTTTTTTACACTCTTCCTTAGGATCTAACAATATCTCTAGAATTAAACGCTTATATTATAATGATACCATTTGATTTAGTTTTATTTATTTAAAGCTAATTACCATGATAAAAATTCCTGATGAATTACTTTAAACAGATATGTTCATCAAAAGTGTACCGTATATATTCTGCACATTATACATTCAGGATAAAATCAAAATTAAAATTTAAGAACCCTTTTCACTTGACCTTCTTGATTGCAACAGTGGTCTCAATGAAAGTGTAGAGCTTTTCATGTAAATTAAAGGGCATCAAATGATTTTAAACTCCTATGCATATTACATAAGAGAGAGGATGTGTATAAATTACTAATGCACGAGACTAATGCATATGCATGAACCAATACTTGTGGCTTATTCAAACTTGCCTCAGATTGATAGCATGGCTAGAATTCTACATACATCTCATGGCAGATGAGAGTAAATCTTACAGGTCTCCTTGGATTTGTTTCTTACCATAAAATATAGTACTTATAATGGAGAAAGGAAAAAGGGGTGGTGGTGCTAAAGGCAAATGACAGTGTTAGTGGTCATCTAAAATGTTTACAATTATTAAACTAAAGATATTTCAATAAGTGACTATGGACACCAGTACCTTTAATGTCTTATGATAATCATATAAACTATACAATTAGACCAGAATAAATTTTCAAATAGATTTCTAAATAAAACTGCTCAGTCATTTACTTTTACAAAGAGAGGCAAAGTGAGGGAAGAAACACAGCATGCTATATTTTCATGAATTTGATTGCAATTTGCTAGGCTGGTTACCTACAGGATCGGCACATGGATAGCTCAGTCCATGTGAAAGTTAAACACAGCACTGGAGAGCTGAGCATTCATTAAATGATTGTATTCTGACTTGAAAATTTGGTTTCAGATGCTTAACACTCATAAGTTTCTATTATCATGACCTTAATGCAAATTAAATTTTTAAAAAATCACCAAGATCTCTTTTTGTGACTTGGAGACTTCTCTTCATTTCCTTCATTCATACATGCACCAGTTTGCTCATAGGGCTTCTGCTTGACACGCTCCCCACGGCAGGCTACCTAATTTGGCCCACCCTATTCACATGGGTCTTAGAGAGGAAAATCTGCCAGCCCACAAATGTCCTCTCTACAGAAAACCTCTATTGACTTCTACCCAGCAACCATCTATATAAACAACCCCCTATATTGATCTTGTAAGTTATGGTAATGCTATATTAGCATTTATTTCTCTTGATACATATCTAAACAGTAATTTCTTTTAAGCTGGTGATTACCTGGTAAAGCTGAATCAATCTGAAAAGTGTATTTCTAGGACAGCTTCAGAAAATCTGGTGAGAGTTCCCCTTTGCACAGCGAGCATTTCTCACAGCCTCAGGCTCATGAATGGCTACCTGAGATTTTGAAACACAGAGACAGATGCAAAATAACATCGGAAGAGTCAGGACTGCACTGACTTTAACTGGTTATCAAGTCAGGAGAACGCATACAGTAGGAGGATACTACGAAAGATGTTCAAGGTGGAGCTGTTCTGGACCAGATAGATTAAATAGATTAACCTTCAAGCACACACCATTACTTTAGTGTTCTCCAGATTTAATTTTAAACATAGGGAGCCTTAACTATCTTAAGAAATTTGGAAAAAAGTGAATAACTGATTTCACCAATTATTTACTGGGAGATTACTTGGGGGGTGTTATTGGAGGGTTGATTTTTTTAAAAAATCAAGGTCAGATATACTTAATTTGTTTTTGAATGCCGGGTTTTGTATAATTTCAAGATATATTCTCTCTGAAGTTACAATCCATCAGTTAACTCAAAACTAACTCAGTCATTCTCTGTACTACATACTATTTCTCACATTTGAAATAGCCAAATGGTACTCTTTCGTTGAAGATAGTTTTTCTTTAAAGGGCCATGTTTAACTGCACCTTTTCTACATGGATGTATGCTTACAGATCTCATCATCTTCTATATTTAGAGAGATGAGCTTTCCAAAGGAAGATAGGCAGCCAATGAGGAGGATCCCATCAAAAGAGAGGTGAGTTACTATGGTTACTTTTCAGGAGATTGAGTAACAGTGAACGGCTGCTCCGGCCAAATGGACCCTTTCCAGAGCAGGACCTAAAAAGATTGTTGCTCTCCATACGTGTTGATACAATTAATCCACACTGCACGATGTCATTTTAGCCGTAACCGCAGGCTTTCTATGGGTGCTTACTGCTCCCAGCTCTCCTCGCCACACACGGGCAGCGAAGTCAAAGGAAAAACAAGGAGGGCTGAAAACTTCCGAACACAAACCTAGTATCGACTGACATGGGGACTCCTCAAGAACCAATTCCATGATTTTTAAAATATGAAGCCAGGTTATTTGAGACCACCATCTGGCCGCTTTTCAATGACTGGGAGTGGAGTAGGATCCCAGAACAGTCCCTATCCTCACCCTCAGTGAAACGGGTCTTTCCTGAGCCTCAGAGAAAGGCACATTGCTGGCTGAGTCCGGACGTACCTTGTGAGCTGGGTCCGCCGACCAGGAGATGGGCGCATGCACCTGTTTCGTAGAGGCGCGGGGTTCGGTGCTCCCTCCCGCTTTAGAGGCGCTGTCACTCTTCACTCGGGCGCAGACAGCAACGGCGGCGACGGCAGCGCGACAGCGACAGCGGCAGCAGCGGCAACTGCAGCTCGGCGGGCAGCCCTGGCTCCTGCAGGTCGGTCCCTCCAGTCTCTGAAGCGCCTCTCGCCTCTCGCTCCGGGTTCGGAACGCAAGGCGGGCGCGCAGCTGTTCTGCGCTCGCATTGGACCAGAGGGAGCAGATGTTACCCGGTTGCTAGGAGCGTTGCTAGGAGGCGATGACGCCCCTCCACAGCTCAGGAGCAACTTTCCTGTAGGTCGGATGCGCTGGCGGGGGCTGCTGGGAGCTAGGTTTGAGAACAGGAACGAGGAAGCGCAGCGAACAAAGAGCCCCGAACGGGGGGTGGGGTGGGGGGGTGTCCTTTCCTTGCTACTGTTGGGTCCTGGAGAGGTGGGGAGCTGCGGGTGGTGAGAGCCGCAGCTCTGCGCGCGGGTCTTCGGGCCCTGCTCCCGTGGGCCCGGGCAGGTGATGGGGGGCCGCTCTTCCCCAGGCAGGTCACTCGGAGCAGGCCGTAGCTGGGTGTCCCCTGGGGTGATCAGGTTTGGGAATGGGAGTGGGATGGTACTTTTGGTGGCTGAGGAAGCAGCAGAAGTTGGTGCATTTTAAACACCGAGACCCACAGGAATGCTCTGCACCTTGGGGCAGGACCATGGCAATGGGAGAGATGGAGGAGGGTGTGTATGGCCTGGGTGAGGCGTGTGGGATGGAAACTATAGGAACTTCTGCCTTCTGGGGTTCTTCTCCCCTGCGTGTTCCAGTTTGTAACTTTCAGGTTTGAACAGTTATAGATTTTGAATTTAATCCATGAAAATCAGACCAGACTCTTGTTCCTTTTAGCACTGGCTATGACTGCTTACTGGTATGGTGCCAAAGATTTCAGAAAAAATGACCCTGAAGTCTTAGATACTCCCTTTATGGAGTTAGAAAGAAAGTCTTCATTTTGATCCAATGGCTAATTAAACCCTCAGGCTAATATGTAAGCTTCTTTAAAAATATACAAAAGTAAAGATACTTTTCACAAAGGAGACTGAAGAAGGTATGCATGTTTCAGTCCTTTACACTTCAGTATAAGTTCACCTAAAAGGATTGATTGTATTGTCTTTGATATCACACTCCAGGTATGCTTTTTTTTTTTTTTTAAATCATTGCTTTTTGTTGTTGCTGTTGTTGTTAAATGGAGTTGTTATTCATTGGTGGGAGAAGAATGATGAGAAGGTCAAAGTGGACAAATTCAGGCAGCCAGTGAGCCAAATTAATGAAGGGAAAATGACAAACGTATTAGAAAGTTTGACCAAGGCAGAAGGGGAATCCCTCAGAGAGGGAATCTCATTGAAGAAGGATATACACCACTTCCCTGGTTCCCTGTAGGGTCAGGCCAGGGCCTGGAAGGAAGAGAGCACCACTGGGAATCAATTAAAAAGAAAAGTTGCTGTGTTCAGAGCCAGGACAGGGCTGCTGTGCAGTGTTCTGTTGACTCCTGCAATGGTGGCCATTTTGCAAGGCTGAAGGGGCTACACGAAGTGGTCCTACAAATCTCACTGGCCCTGCTTCCTCAGGCACAGGACCAACTGAACACCTATGACCAAACTTGGAGTTAACAATTCGTTAGCCCTAGGGTTTGAAAAGCCAGTCACCTTGTGCTAATAATGAACCTGACCATAGGAATCCCATAGCAATGTAGATCAAATCATCACAGGCACCCTTTAAATACCTTAGGATTTTGTCAGTTATACCTCAAGGTCCAGTCACACTAGCTGTCCTGTTTCCTTGAATGAGGAAGGCTCTCACTTGTCTCAAGTATTTTGTACATGCTGTTTCTTCTTCCTCAACATGTCTCCCTCTTATCTGGCTTACTCCTACTCAGCTTTTATGTCACAGCTTAAATACCACTACCTCATTGTGGCTTTCCCTCACAGCCTTCCACTGGCTAGGTTAGCCTCCCAATTACATTCCCAAATCACCTTACTGGCCCCATTTCAGGGGAGTCATCACACTGGGTTTCCGGCCAGTGCCACCTTGTTAACCCTGTGTTTCCAGTACCAAGCACACAGTGCACAGTCCATCAGAGGTAAGCACGAGCACATGTGAATGGGTGGAGCCACCCTGACTAGCTCAAGGTGTCTGGTTTTACCTTAGCTATGTAGTTATCAGCTGGTGAACTCACACAAACCATGAGGGCAGCCGCTAGTTGCTGTCCTTTAAGAAGAGGGGGAAAGCCTGTTATATAGAACATTGTTTTCTCCCCTTAATGAGACATTATGTTGATTACAGCAACTTCTTTTTCTTCTTATAGCATCTTATAAAGGTCTCTACCTGGATTTTACGGGCATTGGGAAATAACCTTAAAATTCTTTATATATTTTCCTAATTCTGTTCTCTCTGTGTTCTCCCAAGTAAGTAGGATCCTCTGAACTAATCCATTTCATCTTTCCTTAAAGTACTCTACCTTTACCTCATGTAAGAAGCACCCTTCATCACCACGTGCTGTATCTCTATGGAGCAAAAAAATTAGCTCTTTGGGGAGCAGTTAGCTAACTTGACCAATATGGCCAACACTTCTATTCTAGTTGATCAGAAGAGACCAGGAAACCTTGTTCTCTGTTGTCAATATAACTCTCCATATAATTGTCAAATCCCCTCCTCATCTGGGACCACCTCAAGAAAGATGATAACGGATGTTGGAAACGTGATAGAAATGTCATGGAAATCCCAAGATCACAAAATTGCTTGATGGCAAAGCCAGAAATAAAGCACAGGTATGAGTTTAATCTTTACTGGGCTACTTATGTTTACACATATAGGTTTACAAATTCTTTGATCCTCCTGGCAAGAGATTAGAGATTCTGGATTTTAAAATTAAATATTTAAATACCATACAGTCCACCTTATAATTAATCTAAATTGGGGCACCTGGGTGGCTCAGTCAGTTGGGCGATCGACTTTGGCTCAGGTCATGATCTTGCAATTCGTGGGTTCCAGCCCGCATCGGGCTCTGTGCTGACAGCTTAGAGCCTGGAGCCTGCTTCGGATTCTGTGTCTCCCACTCTCTCTGCCTCTTCCCTGCTCACACTGTCTCTCTTAAAAATAAACATTAAAAAAATTAATCTAAATTGTAATCTTCTCACCTCAAGACAACTCTTGAATCTTGTCCCTCCTTGAGATGACCACAGATGTAATGCTAATCCTGTCTCCTACTCCTTATCTATTTGCTAAAAAGAATGAGATGTTTTATTATATAGTAGAATGCACATTAAAATTCATCAGTGCTCCGAACTGTCACCCAAGCTTCCTCTTGAGCCATGTTTCTGAATCTCCCTAGAGAAACCCTAGGGAAATTGCCAAGACCCTATGTAGTTTATAAGACATATAACGTGTTTTGATTTGTCAATAAAATGTTACTCAAAAATTTTTTAATTACTACAAAAGACTTTAAGAACCATAGTCCTCAATAACTGTCTCAATTATTTTAACATATAGAGATGGCAAATCTCTATTGAAGGAATGTTAGAAATAGCAATTGTTTGTCAAGTTTTTAGTACTGCAGATGATTTACTTTAAAACTCTATTCCTTCTGCAATATTCTGTTTTTGTTCACAGTTTTATATTATTTACTTTGGTGTTTTTAACAGGTTACATATGTATGTAGTGCACATACACATGTAGAAATGATCCACCATACTCAGACTGTCAGCTCAAACTCTGCCCTGTAGCTCTGAGAATGTGAATTCAAGTGATCTTTATTTGCACAACCATACCTGAACAGTGTAGAAATGTTCTAAGATGACTCGTGTAGGCAACTAAAATCCTTAATCAGTTGGTAACGTTCTAGTGCCACTGTGGGTTAGGAAGAACTTAGGTAATAAATGAGCTAACAGGGGCGCGTGGGTGGCTCAGTCGGTTAAGCGTCGGACTTCGGCTCAGGTCATGATTTCGAGGTTCGTGGGTTCGAGCCCCATGTCAGGTTCTGTGCTGGCGCTCAGAGCCTGGAGCCTGCATTTCGGACTCTGTGTCTCCCTCACTCTCTGCCCCACCCCCGCCCAGACTCTGTCTCTCTCTGTCTCAAAAGTGAATAAACTATTAAAAAAAATTTTTAATAAAAAATTAAATGGGCTTACAGTTAGCAGGTTTTCCTCAAATAATCACCACTCCTACAACATTTGAAATAAAATTATTTTTTAAAAAGGAAAACTGTGTGTGCTAGATACCATGTAGAAGAACCCTAATGGATTCATTTTTCTGTATGTACAAATGAACAATTCCTAGCCTTCTTAAATATAGGTGGAGCCATGTGACTGGTTCTGACCAAAGGAGTTTAGACAGAGGTGATGAGCACTCTTTAAGCCTGGTTCCCTAAATATACATTTGATTCTTGTGCTTTTCCTTTCTCTTCCATTTGATTGGCCATATAGGCCTTCAGAGGCCCAAAGGACTCTGGGATAGCTCTCAGTCCCTAAAATGCTGCTAAGAAAGAAAGCTGCATGGGCAAAAACATGTTAGTGAGAAATAAACTTATCTTATGCTGACTCACTGACATCTAGTGTTGTTTATTTTAACAAGTAGCGTTAATTACTGCAACTAATACAATATGCAAAAATGGTAAAAATAGAATTTCTCTGAAACATCTAGAGAATGGTTGTTTGTTTGGGGGATGTCAACAATGTTTCTACAGCTATGAAGGTCTGACCATAATAGCCCTACTCTGGTATTTCTAGCTTGCTGCACTGGACCCTTATAAACCCATTCAAACTGGCTATACACAGAGAAGCCAGGACTCCAGACAAAAGCATCTCTGATAAATTACCTATCCTTTTGTACAGGAATACTTACATTTTTCCTTCTCAGAATCCTCTTCAGGTGCAATTTAATTATCTCAGGTGATCTTTATGTATATATAGCTCCTTAGTTACCCAATATTCAACACTTTGTCATTTGAGTAGAAATATGTTGGTTCATATATGTGTTTAACATAAAAGCCTAGAGCATCCTAAAACCAAAATAAATTATAGGGGTCATAAATATAACATTTATCATTAAATATATATACATATTTGCAGTTTGCATATATATTAAATATATATATATTTGCAGTTGGCATGGTGTTGGAGTTAATGG